AAAAACTGCGGTCGGAAACGCTGTCCCTGCCTACCCAAATAAAAGTCTCGGGGCAATGGACTCCTGCCATTCATGCGTGATCGGGACCAGGAAAAAATCAGCAGAGAAATTCAAACTCCATGAAAAATAAAGAAACATTTTTTTTAACAACACTCCCCTGCACCCCCCACAAAAAAAAAAAAAAATCATCTGCCAATTGGTGAACCTGGAGGTGATGGAACGGCGAATATGGGACTTACTTAGTGCTGTATTGATGAGTTGAGAGAGGAGCTGAGACGCCGTTCGAATCCCGCCTAGGCCGTCGGCGGGCGACGCCCCCCCCGATGCGTCGTCGTGACCGGCCGCCGTCAATTCAAGCGCCATTCCTACGAATGGCTCGACGGGACAGGTGCGGGCTTGGATTCGGGCCTTCTTGTGTGGGAGTTTGCGCGTCCTTCCCCCGTGCCCGCCCGCGTGGCTTTTCTCAGGGTATTCCGCTTTCCTCCCACATTCCCCCCAAAAAACATGCACGGCAGGTCCACGGAACACGCGGGTTGGTCTCTGCGTGCCCTGCGACGGGCTGGCAAGCAGTTCAGGGTCCCCCCCGCCGACTGCCCGAAGACAGCGCGCGGATGACTGGAGGGAAACGTCGGGCCGGCGGCGGCGGCGGCAGCGGCAGCGGGCTGGTCTTTTATTGTGAAAGCGCGTCGGGGAAGTTATCGCAGCGCTCGTCGGGTGTCTTGACGCTGCTATTGCTGAGCTGCAGTGCGGACAAAATGCCGGTGCCGTTTTGCGGTTCTTGACCGGTGCACGTTCCGCGCTCCTCCCGGCGGAACCGCGGCCCGCTCGCGCATCCAACAACCGGAACCGGGTGCTCTGTAGCCGAGCTAGGAGTGGGTGAGGGGGGGGGGGTTCTTCTTGTGATTTCCCGATGGAGAGTCCCAAGAGGCGGAAGCGGAGGAGCGCCCGGTAAGGTAGAAGCGCCGCAGCGCAGCCGTTTCCGCCGGTCGGGGCGGGGTGGCGGGAGGCATGCGGAGCGGGTTTGGGGGTCGGGTCGGACGGCGGCGAACCGGCACGGGCGACGGCACCTTTCGTTCAGGGTCAGGCCGGGCCGCATTTATCGAGCGGCGGATGTTGCGCACGTTGGTGAGGCCGCATGACTGTGCAGCGCACACGAGAAAGAGCGAGAGGAAGCTTACTTCCAAACGGAAAGCCATTTTACCGGATCCGTATTGATCGAGAATCCGCGCGATGATCCCGACGGAGCCCCAGAAACGATTCGAGTGGACTCCGAGGTCAGATTCCAAAGATTTTTTTTTCCCCCGTGGATTCAAATTCAGATTCTCATTGGTCATATGTTTTGGAATACGTGCGCGTCACTTCCCGCCGAGTTGTCAAACCCCGGTTCGGGGGAGTTGGGGCTCAGGCTCCGCCCCCGTTTCGCCGCCACCTGCGGGAAAGCACCCGGTTCGGCGCCGTCTTTTCGGCTTGGAATGCGAGCGGGAACGACGCCGACCGGCTCGCCGGCTTCTGGTGCGGCGACCCGAACCCCGCCCCTCCGCCCGCCCGACTCCGCCCCTTGTTGGCAAAAGGGGGCGAGCGTCACCGCCACGGAGCTCCTCCGCGGGATGGATTGCGCAAGAGTTTGCGGGACCGTCGGGCCGTGACCCGCGAGTGTCCCGTCGGCGCCACTCCGAGGAGGCAAAGTGGGGATTTCGACTGAGGTTCCGCCGCAAGTATTGGCCAAGTGCTTCAACGGCGGCCATTTTCAGAAAAGTCAACTGCCCGTTTCGGACTCTCGGGACGGCCGGCGTCAAAAGCCGCCTGCCGCCGGACTCGGAAAGTGCCGAAATTGCGGGAAAGGAAACCTCGAAAGCAGAAGGGCCATTTTGCTCCTATTTGGGGGCGTAGGTGAGCCCGCTGACATTCCATCCGGACACTCAAGCCGCATCGAGCGAAGAAACGCACCAGCGGGCGCGGCGGCTAAATTGGCTCGCCCATGCTAATGCTAACTCAGCACTTTTTCCGCGCGACGCATTTTTTGGGGGGGGGGGGTTTCTTTGAAGGAAGGAAACTCTGTGGTCCCCGCGGCGGCGGCGGCGGCGGCGCCGGCTAACGCGCATGGACGGACCTTCAGTTCTTTCCGCGTGGAATTGAAAGCCTCGTGTCCGGCGCCGTTGGCGGCTAACGCTGTTGTCTTTCCCCCCCCCCTCCCCCCCACTGGTGCAGATCAATGTCTGGTTCAAGCTGGGAGCCGCTCGCGTCCTTCACGGATGGCAGATGCAGTGCCTAGGCCCCGCCCACCAGGACAACGCCAACATGAACGGGACCGCCGAGCAGGCCGACATCCTGCCGCCCAACTGCATGGTCAAGGACAGATGGAAAGTGGTCAGTCCGACGCGCGAGAGCGGAGACGCCTGGTGGTGGGGGGGGGGGGGGGGTGGACCTGCTGACCCGGGAGAACGTGGCCCTCAAGGTGGAGTCGGCCCAGCAGCCCAAACAGGTCCTCAAGATGGAGGTGGCCGTGCTCAAGAAGCTACAGGGTGGGTCCCCCCCGTCCCCCACCCATGGGGAAGTGCTCGCCGCGTCCGCTCGGGCACTCAGTCGCCGTTTTCTCTCTGGCTGCTTGCTCGGGCGGCAGGTAAAAACCACGTGTGCAAGTTCATCGGCTGCGGCAGGAACGACAAGTTCAACTACGTGGTGATGCAGCTTCAGGTAAGAGAGAGAGAGAGAGAGAGAGAGGGGCGGGGCCTCCGCGCCGGCTCGCCGCCCACTGACGCACCCCCCCCC